TGCCATCGAGAGTGCGCTGGGGGCTGCTCGGGGCCCAAGGACACCGACTGTTTTGTGAGTCCCACCTGCTTATAGTGGCTTTACAACATGGTTAAGACTCGAGGCCCTTTTGTTCACACTTGTCCTGAGTTTAGAGCAGGGATGCACAATAATATTTAGCGATATTGGGAACAAATTTGAATGAATGAATGAATGAATGATTGTTTACTGATCACTTTATTTGTTTTGTTTGTGTGGATGCGTGTGTTTTTGCTGCTACGGGACACCTGTGTTTTGCCCATGGGGGAAAAACAAAGTATCTATCTATTTTAACTTGGACTAAAAACATCAGAGTAAGAACAGAAAAACAAATAGCAATGAATACAAGGCAACAACAAAGAAAAAATATGTCAACAACTAGATTTAAATTGGCAATATGTAAGATTTTCATGTCAAGTCCTCATTAAAGGGCCCTGATCTGTCAAAAGGCATTAATAAACCATGCTCTTTTCTAATACTTCTTTAACTGATATCATTGGTTCAACCAACATATTTGAATTAAAAAAATAGTTTTACAGTCCCTAAATCTTTTTATTGTCTTCATTTTGATGTCCCGCCCCCTACACCGTTTTACCACCGTTTTATCAATCAGAAAGTCTGTGATCCGGGTAGCCAGAACTGGTAAAGTAACATGTGGCCGCTGTTCTAAAAACAGCCCTCCTATAATTCTCAAATCATTATTGACAAAACAAGAAGAAGAAGAATAAAACGAGGATTTCTATCGGGGTCTTTGTGAAAAAGATGTTTGTCATAGAATTGTTGTTGACAAAACTCGTGTCTATTCAACTGTTATGGTCCTAGCTGGATTTGTGTGCATATCTGGCAACCTGAGTTAGAGAGAGTACAGTGCAACTTTTGGGAAAATTTTTACACACTGCTCCTTTCATGTTCAGAAAGAGTATGAAGAAGCCAACGCTTATTAAATCCTACCCCTTCTCTCTATGTTAAATAAATATAAAACTAATTAGGGGTGTGACGATATATCGAAAAATATATCGTCACTTTCTCCCGCGATTCGATTATCGATATGCATTTGCCAAGTATCAATATCGATTTTCGAGAAAAAAAAGAATTTTTTTTATTATTATTATTTTTTTTTAAATTGGTATCAATACTTAATATATGGCTACATTACGCATCTCCATTCCATTTATCATGAAATAGAGTATTTTTTCTTTTATTTTTATATATATTCGTTTATTCTTCGGCCATCAGCAGAAAATAAGAAAACATTTGACATTCACAAATTATAAATTATATACTGACCGAAAGGGTTAGGCTGAAGTTTAACACTTATTTCGCCTAACCCTATTAACAAATAACAAAATTACATTTCTTACTTATACAAATGTAACAAAATTATATACAATGTAGCGGATCCACAGAGCTTACAATGAAAATTGTATTTGGAAATACTGTAAGAAAATAAATAGTTTGTACTAATTCAAAGAAATATTCCTTGTAATCACATTATATACATAAACACATAGTATGACATATATATATAGATATATATATCTATATATATATATATTTTTTTTTTTTTTTATTATTATTTATTTATTTTAATTTTCTTCCTTTTATGTATATAATATATATATATCTATACATGGATTTAAATACACATACACACATTCATACATATACATATATATATACATACACACACATACAAACATACACCTATACCTGTACCTGCATACACACAGGTTATTATTATTATTATTCTAGTGATTTATACTTTTCTTCAACAATAGCCTTAAAGCGCTTTTTAAATGTGTGAATTGAGGTGGAACATTTGAGTGGCTCATCCAGGCCATTCCAAAGATGAACCCCCCTGACAGAGATGCATCTACTTTTTAAACTGGTTCTCACATTTGGTTTCTTAAAGACATACACACCTCTTAATTCATAAGGACTCTCTCTAGGTTTGAACCTCTCCTGTATGCGCTGAGGGAGCAGGTGGTTATGGGCTTTGTACATGAAAATCGCAGTGTTTAGGTCAACAAGGTCATGAAATTTTAATGTTTTTAATTTGATGAAGAGGGCGTTTGTAGGAGCATAAAAATCTGCATAATTAACTATTCTGACAGCCTTCTTTTGGAGCAAAACAACTGATTGGACGTTGGATTTGAAATTGTTTCCCCATATTTCGACACAATAATTGAGATATGGAAGTATGAAAGAGTTGTACAACATTTTAAGTGCATTTTGGTTTACAGAGTATTTTACTTTGTGCAACATTGCTATAATTTTTGACAACTTTGTTTTCATTACATTTATGTGTAGCTTCCAATTAATTTTCTCATCAATATGAATTCCTAAAAACTTTGTTGTGTGTACTCTTTCTATTTCCCTATCGCCAATTTTTATGTGACATTGAGTGTTGATTTTCTTATTTCCAAAAATCATATACTTAGTTTTATTCAAATTGATTGACAGCTTATTATCATCAAACCATTCTTTTAGTTGGGAAAGTTCCGACTCTACAGTTTCTAAGAGCTGTCCAAGATCTTGCCCAGAACAGTACAAGCTCGTATCATCAGCAAACATAATGCAGTTTAGTTTTTTTAAAACTTCGCAGATATCATTTATATACATTATAAACAGTTTGGGTCCCAGTACAGAGCCTTGAGGAACTCCATGAGTTATGTTCATTTTATCAGAATTTATGTTGTTTATATGGACGTACTGTTCTCTGCCACCAAGATAACTTCTCAACCAATCATGTGCAACACCTCTGACACCATATCTCTCCATTTTCTTTAAAAGTAATGTGTGGTCTATGGTATCAAAGGCCTTGCTAAGGTCAATGAAAACACCAACCGTAAATTGCTCTTTATCAATTGCGGTTGTTACCTCCTCCACCAGTTCCATCACTGCCATAGAGGTGGACCGGTTTGATCTGAAGCCATATTGCTGCTCGCAAAGTAAATGGTGATTATCAATGAAGGAATCCAGTCTGGTTATAAAGATTTTTTCTAGAATTTTCGAGAATTGTGGCAGTAATGATATTGGCCTATAGTTTGTACACAGATGTTCATCTCCACTCTTAAAGATGGGTATGACTTTTGCAGTCTTCATTTTATATGGGAAGACACCTTTGAGAAAAGAAAGATTACAAACATAAGTGAAGGGAACAACTATATATTCAACAATTTCCTTGACCATACACATGTCTATGTCAAAACAATCCGTTGACTTTTTATTTTTGAAGGAATTTACTATTTCAATTATTTCATACTCTTGTACTGGGGTAATGAAAAATGATTGTAGATTATTTTGAATAGGTTGCTCACTATTCACTATTGTTTTACTTTTATGAGCAATTTCATTCACTAGCGTGGGTCCAACATTCACAAAGAAGTTGTTAAATAAATTAGCTATTTCCTTTGTATTATTTATTGTTTGGTCCTTGTCCAAAAAATATATTGGATATTCCTTCTTTTTAATGTCTTTTTTAATAATACTATTTAATACTTTCCATGTTCCTTGTACATTATTTTTATGTTGATCTAATAGGTTACAAAAGTATGTTCTTTTGCTGCATTTTATAATTTTAACTAGCTTGTTTTTGTATGTTTTATATCTCTGTTCATCATCTTTGGTTCTGCTTTTTATAAATTTTCTATAGAGACAATTTTTCTTCTTACATGATTTTAATATTCCTCTTGTAATCCACGGTTTACCTTCTCTAGTTGTTTGCTTTATATACAATTTCCTAATTGGACAGTGCTTTTCATATAATTTTAACAGGGTATTAATAAAGGCTTCATATGCCTCGTCTGGGTCTGTTGAGTCTTGGACCACACACCAGTCCTGAGCACATAAATCAGCCTTAAATGCTGCCATGGCCTCTGGTGTCCGATGTCTGATGTATTTATACTGTGCCACTTTTTTGTTATCTTTCTTTTCAAAAAAGTGCTTAAAGATGCTGAAGATGGGTAGATGATCACTTATGTCGTTAAGAAGTAACCCTGCAGTTATTTCATTTCCCAGCATCTGATTGGTGAAAACATTATCTATCAATGTGGCAGAGTTTGTTGTTATTCTAGTTGGTTTTGTGATGAGAGGGAAGAAATTGTTACTATACATCTCTGTAAGGAAGTCAGTTGTTTTTGTATTTTCAAGGGGGTTCAAGAGATTAATATTAAAATCACCACACACAACATGGAGTTTGTTTATCTTACTAAACAGATGGTCAATATTTTGGTTAAAAGTATCCAGACATGATCCAGGCGTTCTGTACACACAGCTAACATTCATCTTTTTTTTCTTTTATGAAAGTAAAAAGGTCCAGGAGAGAGCACAGAGAAAGAATTACATTTTATAACAAAGCCAGAGGGATTTTAGCTTCAGTAAAACAGTAGGAAACAATTGAATAGTTTATATGCAAAAACAGTTAAGTGCCATTGGAAACGTGTCGGAATAGCTTACAATTTGCTTTTTACCAAGTAGTTTTATGAAAAGCCAGATCTAATTTAGTGCCATACAAATAATATGTCATCCATTTTCAAGTGTACTGCCAACAACGGAACATCTTTAAGGTTGTAATTCCAGGAATACAATAGTTGGATAACATTTCTAAATGGAGATATCTGTTTTTGCAAATGGACTCTTCAATTGTTCTTCCACTGAAACAGATGGAACTCAACATGAGAGAAAAAATGAGAAAACCATCCAGAAAATCACAAAAGTCAAAGACAGAAGTCGTTTTCTTGACGTGGTTTCCCAAAGTAAAAAACGCATGGTTCAAATGTTCTGTGTAAATAATCCTCCGGGGTCACATGACGGGTCACATGACACACCTCGTTCCTGTTGCTGTGCGCCACTTTCTTCTCGATGTTCATGGATAACATCTGACTTCGGAACGACAGACTCTTGGTTTTCTCGATCACCTGTTGATACGGAGACACCGCATTGTTCCCCATCACCACGTGGCCCTGAGGAGAGAGAGCTCATTAACACACCATCACCGACACCATCACCCACACCATCACCAACACCAACACCAACACCATCACCATCACCGACACCATCACCATCACCAACACCATCACCGACACCAACACCATCACCATCACCGACACCATCACCATCACCAACACCATCACCAACACCATCACCATCACCAACACCATCACCGACACCAACACCATCACCATCACCGACACCATCACCATCACCATCACCATCACCAACACCATCACCAACACCATCACCATCACCAACACCATCACCGACACCAACACCATCACCATCACCGACACCAACACCATCACCATCACCGACACCATCACCATCACCAACACCATCACCATCACCAACACCATCACCGACACCAACACCATCACCATCACCGACACCATCACCATCACCAACACCATCACCAACACCATCACCGACACCAACACCATCACCGACACCAACACCATCACCGACACCAACACCATCACCAACACCATCACCGACACCATCACCATCACCGACACCATCACCCACACCATCACCATCACCAACACCAACACCATCACCGACACCATCACCCACACCATCACCAACACCATCACCAACACCATCACCATCACCGACACCATCACCATCACCAACACCATCACCAACACCATCACCGACACCAACACCATCACCGACACCAACACCATCACCGACACCAACACCATCACCGACACCAACACCATCACCGACACCATCACCATCACCGACACCATCACCACCATCACCATCACCGACACCATCACCGACACCATCACCGACACCATCACCGACACCATCACCGACACCATCACCGACACCATCACCAACACCAACACCATCACCATCACCGACACCATCACCCACACCATCACCATCACCAACACCAACACCATCACCGACACCATCACCGACACCATCACCGACACCATCACCGACACCATCACCGACACCATCACCAACACCATCACCAACACCATCACCAACACTCCCCCTCTGATCCCTGAGCTCTGACCCTAGGGTTAGTCTGCTGTGACTCCACGACGTCTGCTGTGACTCCACGACGTCTGCTGTGACTCCACGACGTCTGCTGTGACTCCACGACGTCTGCTGTGACTCCACGACGTCTGCTGTGACTCCACGACGTCTGCTGTGACTCCACGACGTCTGCTGTGACTCTACGACGTCTGCTGCGACTCTACGACGTCTGCTGCGACTCTACGACGTCTGCTGCGACTCTACGACGTCTGCTGCGACTCTACGACGTCTGCTGCGACTCTACGACGTCTGCTGCGACTCTACGACGTCTGCTGTGACTCTACGACGTCTGCTGTGACTCTACGACGTCTGCTGTGACTCTACGACGTCTGCTGTGACTCTACGACGTCTGCTGTGACTCTACGACGTCTGCTGTGACTCTACGACGTCTGCTGTGACTCTACGACGTCTGCTGTGACTCTACGACGTCTGCTGTGACTCTACGACGTCTGCTGTGACTATTGGCGCTTTCAGACCGGATCATGCGTTGCGTCGGCTTTCAATGCAAAGTCTATGGTGACTCGCGTTCGAGCGTCACAACGCACGGACCTCTCGGCACGCACGGACGGACTGTTCAGTAGAGACGCACGGACTTGGCGGGAAAGTCAAAGGGGAGGAGCAGGAGCAAAACATCGACGCCCACAGGAGATGGATTCTGCTCATCCTTTCCTTGGGACGTTCGTGCAGCAACCAATCAGAGAGCAGCAAATTGGTCACGGGGACATTAGCGGACTGAGCAAGCAGAAAATACTCGTAAACAGCCAAAACAGGACCCACACCAGGCTTCACCAGAACTCAAACCAGGGCTGACAATGGGGGACTCAATGGGGGATGTGCTTGTGAAAATATGCGTTGTCATGCTCCCGTGACCTTATGCAACTGCTTCGAGCGTGTTTCCGATACTACTGTTATATAAAGCCCGTGGAATGTCTGTGAGCAAAGACACGCTGCAAAGCTGCATATTGGAGAAGATCTGAACACAAGAAGCCGCTAGCTAAACTATGTTAGCATCAGAGCCGGCCGGCTACTTCCGGCACTTCCGGTGCGCGTCAGGACATCTCGGTGTGAAGACCTGTGCGCCTGAAAACTAGAGAATGCGCGTCTGGTGAGCGGGGCTTCAGCGTTGGCTGTCTGAATGCACCATATGACGCCTGCTGTGACTCTATGACGCCTGCTGTGACTCTATGACGCCTGCTGTGACTCTATGACGCCTGCTGTGACTCTATGACGCCTGCTGTGACTCTATGACGCCTGCTGTGACTCTATGACGCCTGCTGTGACTCTATGACGCCTGCTGTGACTCTATGACGCCTGCTGTGACTCTATGACGCCTGCTGTGACTGACTATGACGCCTGCTGTGACTCTATGACGCCTGCTGTGACTCTATGACGTCTGCTGTGACTCTATGACGTCTGCTGTGACTCTATGACGCCTGCTGTGACTCTATGACGCCTGCTGTGACTCTATGACGCCTGCTGTGACTCTATGACGCCTGCTGTGACTCTATGACGCCTGCTGTGACTCTATGACGTCTGCTGTGACTCTATGACGCCTGCTGTGACTCTATGACGCCTGCTGTGACTATGACGCCTGCTGTGACTCTATGACGCCTGCTGTGACTCTATGACGTCTGCTGTGACTCTATGACGTCTGCTGTGACTCTATGACGTCTGCTGTGACTCTATGACGCCTGCTGTGACTCTATGACGTCTGCTGTGACTCTATGACGTCTGCTGTGACTCTACGACGTCTGCTGTGACTATGACGTCTGCTGTGACTCTATGATGTCTGTGACTGACGTCTAGCATGTGTAGCGTGTGTGTGGAGCGTGTGTAGCGTGTGTGGAGCATGTGTAGCATGTGTAGCGTGTGTGTGGAGCGTGTGTAGCGTGTGTGTGTAGTGTGTGTGTGTAGCGTGTTGTGTGTGTGTGTAGCGTGTGTGTGGAGCGTGTGTAGCTAGCCCCTGCAGGAGGAGCCTCTCACCAGTTTGGAGTCGATCTTAGCGTCGAGTCGAGCGTTCCGGATCAGGTTCACGATCCAGCGCTCCGCCTCATCTGGCGTCATGTTGAGCTTGTCAGCGAGCATGCTGGGAAAAGAGTGGCCACTTCAGTTCAGTAAACAAATCAGAGAGCATGCTGGGAAAAGTGAAAGAAAGAGGGGCCACTTCAGGAAACACACATCAGAGCTGTAGCTTAATATTCTCTTTATGTCACACTTAGAACTACGTTACATCTGAGCAGATACGAGACCAGCACTGATGAGCATTACCTGATGAGCATTACCTGATGAGTATTACCTGATGTGTATTACCTGTTGTGTATTACCTGATGAGTATTACCTGATGTGTATTACCTGTTGTGTATTACCTGATGTGCATTACCTGATGTGTATTACCTGTTGTGTATTACCTGATGTGCATTACCTGATGCTGATGCACTGGTGAATTCGGCAAAACGTCTCAAAGATGAAAAGTCGAGCGTTTTCAATGAAATCTTCGAGACACGCCACGAGGAAGAAGTCGTTCACCAAAACCTGCACACAGGTACAGAGGACACAGGTACAGAGGACACAGTTACAGAGGACACAGTTACAGAGGAGAGGACACAGGTGCAGAGGAGAGGACACAGGTGCAGAGGAGAGGACACAGGTGCAGAGGACACAGGTACAGGGCACACAAGTACAGAGGCGATTGTTGGCGATTTCAGTTTTGTTAAGTTCTGAGAAAGCACTGTTGTGATTTAGGGCGATAAAAGAATAAAGTGCATTGAATCAACAGTGTTATGCCCTTATGTCAAATTGAAAGTGTTTTAATCTGGAATACAGAACTTTGAACCATGAAAAATGAACTATAAGTCAATCATGAAGCTACACCTTTGGATCAGTCCTCACCTTCTCTCGGCCAATCATCTCTCAATGTATAAAAGATCAAATGTTTCTAATCAGATGAATCCAACATCAAATATGAAACCTTTATATCCATGATTTCATATCCTTCAGACTCCACTTCCTTCATCTGATCTCCAAAAACTGAAATATGTCCAAAACTCAGCCGCCCATCTCATCACTCAGACCCAGAGAACACATCACCCCTGTCCTTCATACACTCATCACTCAGACCCAGAGAACACATCACCCCTGTCCTTCATAAACTCCACTGGCTCCCATCAAACAGCGCATCCATAACCTCGCTCCTCCAGACCTCACTGAACTTCTACAGCCCCCTCTACAGCCCTGCAGTTGCCCTACAGTCCCCTCTACAGCCCTACAGTCCCCTCTACAGCCCTGCAGTCCCTCCCGTTGATTCCGATCTGCAGACTCACATCTCACTCCCACCGTCAAATCCAAGCACCAAACCTTGGGGGACCGAGCTTTTGCCATCTCTGCTCCCACTCTCTGGAACTCTCTCCCCCCCCTCACCTCTGGAACTCTCTCCCCCCCCTCACCTCTGGAACTCTCTCCCCCCTAATCTCAGAAAGTCGGACTCAATAAACTCCTTCAAAAAACAGCTAAAAACTCACCTCTTCCTCAAAGCATATGACTCTTAGTTTCAGCTTTGTACTCTTCTTTCCTGCTTTTAGATTTTTAGTTTTGTGTGTCTGTCTAAACGTGTGTGTGTGTCCTGATTTGTGAAGCGTCTGAGTTTTTGAAAACCGCTAAATAAAACTGACGTATTATTATCATTTGAATGTTTTATTCAAAACCCTATTGCACTTCCCAGTCTTAATGAGAGCTAAAATACTGTCTTCAAAATGACAATAAGTGGCTCCAGAGTCTGCAGACCTGGGATTGCCTTAAATCCGACTTGACTGTCTCTGAGTTAAGCTGCGGCTAATCAGGCCAGACCAGGATTTGCTGAGGCTGAGCAGCTCCAGTGTTGAAGGCAGCGGTGTAGGGCAGATCAGAGGAAGGTCCCGGGAGGAAAGTTCCGGGAGGCAGCCATCTTCTCTGTTTGGACCATGCACCGTGACAGAACAGCACTTACCGACTCGCACTCTCTGAGCTTCTTCTGAGCGCTGTCGAAATCAAAGTTCACGTACAGACACTCCACGAACTCTGTGATGGGGTCTTTGTACGTGTAAGACTCCTGAAAAACACAGACAGTCAACGAGTGGAAAATAAGGATGGAAATATTATCAGAGAGGTCATGTTTTAACCAGGTAACCATAAACTAGTTACGGTCTATACCAGGAGAGTCAAACTGGTTCCAGGTTTTAATTCCAACCAAGCACGAGCACAAGACTGGGCTTTACTTGAGCTGCAGTCTGGTGTGCTCCGTCTTTAAGAATACGATACAATAGGCGATACAAAGCTCACAATAACGATTATATCACATTATGACGATTATCGATAAATTGGTCAGAAATTGGCCTTTGAGCCAGAGGGTTGTGGGTTCGAGCCCGACCTTCACCATCGACTCCCGCTGTCTGCTGTCGTTGTGTCCTTGGCAAGACACTTAACCTCTGGGAACACCAGCCACAGTGGGGCGGCTGCGGCTGTAAAGTGCCAAACTGCCGTTGTGTCCTTAGGCAAGACACTTTACCCCCATTGCCTAGAATGAGTCTGGTGTGTGTGTGAATGGTTGGTGGTGGTGGGAGGGGCCGATGGCACATACTGGTTGCCTCACTTCTGTCAGTGTGCCCCAGGGCAGCTGTGGCTACAGTAGTAGTTTATCACCACCGTGTTTGGAGTGAAAGAATAATGATGTGAAGCGTCTTTGAGTGTCCAAAAAAGCGCTATATAAAACCAATGCATTATTATTATTATTATTAAATATACGGTTATAGAAATCTTTAGTAAAGCAATTTGAATAAACACACAATAGTTAGTGTAAGTTATTAACTAATTCTCAACTCTGGATTCAAATACAGCACATATGGTCTGTTGGCAGCAAGGTCAGCTCTGGGTCAAAGAACAATATGTTCAGGTCAAAGCAGATTATTACAAGTATCAGAGTTGTATCAGAGTAAGGAAGCTTACAGAGGAGCCTTGAACAACACTGACTTCACACAAAAATATACTTTATTTCATGATAAATGGAATGGAGATGGGTAATGTAGCCATATATTAAGTATTGATACTAAAAAAAAAAAAAGATTAAAAAAAGAATATAAAATTAAAAAATTAAAAAATTGATAGTTGGAAAAAGCATATAGATAATAGATCGTGTGAGAAAGTATCACGATACATCACGATATCGATATATCGTCACACTCCTTGTGTGTACAGGATAGTACACTATCTACACAGGATAGAAGAATATGACAACCTGGCCCCTCCGTACTTATCTGACCTCCTCCACCCTGCCACTCCTGCCCACACACTCCGCTTCTCCTCCATCCTCACACTCTCCATCCCCCCAGCCAGACTCATCACCGTGGGACAGAGCCTTCAGCCACTCTGCCCCCCCCAGCTCTGGAACTCTCTCCCCCCTGCAGACGAACTCTGTGGAGTGATGGAGCGCGTCTTCAACCTGAGCCTCAAGCTGAGGACGGTACCACAGCTCTGGAAGGACCTCCTGTGTGGTACCGGTGCCCAAGAAACCACGGGTCAAAGACCTCAGCGACTTCAGGCCAGTGGCTCTAACATCCCACTGCATGAAGACACTGGAGAGACTGGTCCTGGGACATCTCCGCTCCACTCTGAGCCCAGCGATGGACCCGCTGCAGTTCGCCTACAGGCCGGGCATCGGAGTCGAGGACGTCATCTCCCTCTTCCATCGCTCCCTGTCCCACCTGGAGAAACCCGGCTCCACTGTGAGGATCCTCTTCTTTGATTTCTCCAGTGCCTTTCAATACCATCCAGCCGAGGCTTCTCAGGGACAAGATGGAGACAGCCGGTGTGGACTACGACCTGTCCCAGTGGATCCTGGACTACCTCACAGACAGACCCCAGTCTGTGAGAACCAGGGACTTTGTGTCGGAGGTCCTGACCTGCAGTGTGGGGAGCCCCCCAGGGAACTGTCCTCGCACCGTTCCTCTTCACCCTCTACACTGCGGACTTCAGACACAACACGGACGGTTGTGTTCTACAGAAGTTCTCTGACGACTCTGCCATCATCGGACTCAGCTCCGAGGACGATGACACAGAGCACAGAGGAGTTATACAGGACTTTGTGGACTGGTGTCAGCGGAACCACCTCCTCATCAACGCGGGGAAGACCAAGGAGATGAACCACCTCCTCATCAACGTGAGGAAGACCAAGGAGATGAACCACCTCCTCATCAACGCGGGGAAGACCAAGGAGATGGTGGTGGATTTCCGCAGACGTCACTCTGCAGCTCCAGCTCCAGTGAACATCCAGGGAAAGGACATCGAGAGAGTGGACTCTTACAAGTACCTGGGTGTTCATCTTAACAACAAACTGGACTGGACTCATAACACAGACGCCCTCTTCAAGAAGGGCCAGAGACACCTCTACCTACTGAGGAGGCTTAGGTCTTTTGGAGTGCAGGGGCCACTCCTGAAGACCTACGACTGTGTGGTGGCATCAGCCATCTTGTACGGTGTGGTCTGCTGGAACAGCAGCATCACAGAGAGGGACAGGAAGAAGCTGGAACATCAGGAAGTCCAGCTCAGTCCTGGGCTGTTCCCTGGACACAGTGCAGGAGGTGGGGGACAGGAGGGTCCTGAGCAAACTAACATCTATGCTGGACCATGACTGTCACCCCCTGCAGGACACTCTCTCTGCTCTGGAGAGCAGTTTCAGTGACAGACTAATTCACCCTCGATGTGTGAAGGAGAGGTTCCGTAGGTCTTTCCTTCCTGCTGCTGTCAGAACTGCTGAGCCTGTAAATTTCATTCATCTGTAATTAAGTAAATTCTTAAATCATGTGCAATGTGCAATACTGCAACTTCAGAATGTCACAGAACAATGTCACTTTACCTCATGTCACTTTACTTATATACTTTTTATCCTGCACTATTTAACTGTACAGTATATAACCACTACCACATATATATTTCTTGACTGGTATTGAAGCTTTTTCAGCATCTACAGCTAGTTATGTTAGTTAAGAAACATAGCTACTACTTATTTGTATATAGTGTATATATTGTGTGTGCTCCCTGTGTGCTCTTACTACTGTCCTATATGTGCGATGCAACATCGAAATTTCCCCACTGTGGGACGAATAAAGGAATTCTTATCTTATCTGACCTCCGTACCATTGACTCTCTCCCACTCTTCAAATCCAGACTCAAAACCCATCTGTTCAGACTGTCCTACCCCACCTAACACACACACACACCCACCATTCCATATTGTACTTTACTGTTTTATTCTGTTGATCCTGTTTAATGTTTTTATTATGTCCTGTACAGTGTCCTTGGGTGTTTAGAAAGGCGCTTTTAAATACAATGTTTTGTTATTATTATTATTATTAATATAGTCTACAAACTGTGTATGTCAAAGTTTCCATTTTAGGCTATATCCACACGAAGACAAAACGCTTATAATTTCAGAAACTTTTTCTGTAAACACGGAGTTAGCTCAGTAAATGTGTGTGTCCATATGAATGTAGTCAATACGCCTGAAAACGCTGTGAAACTATGCCAGACCTGTTGGTGGCGCTGTGACGCAATGACGGGATCAAGCCCAAACTTCCGTGACGGGAACTGGGCATACGCAGAATTTTGTAAACAGACAACATGGCGAGTGGGCGAGCTGGTACTACATTAGTATGGACGGACGATGAGGTTGAACTGTTGCTTCGGGTCACACTGGATTACAAAACCAACAAGCTACATTGTTGTTGTCATTATTTTCTGAGTGCGGCGCATGCTGCTTTAACAAGAGGCGGGGCGATGACGCGTCTCAGATACATTGCGGAGAGGCAGTAACCACGGAGCGGCATATACGGAGTTTTGAAATCTTTCCACTCTGGGACCTAGTTTCAAAAATGTTCGTTTACACCCCCCCAAAACGCCGGCCTCGTATGGACCATACACTGGATTGATAAAGTATTTTTGCGTTTAGGCCTGAGCTTGACTTCGTGTGGACAGGGCCTTAGACCCCCATAGTTCCCTCTAATTACTTGAAACATTGTTCAAGGAGAAGTACAACTGGAAACAGAAAGAAATGACAGCAGCTTGAACTATGATTCAAATAAACATATAAAACATTACAGCACAACACCAGAGTAACACACTGGTATCAAATACAGAAATAAATAAGTAATTTACATAAGAAAGACACATACTGCATTTCTGTAGACTTTTTTTAGTGTTTGACATTTGAGAAAGCTTTGGTCTGAAAAAATATATTTTGGTTTAGTAAAATATAAAATTTTATGGATTTAATGAAACTCTTGCACAAAGCCCAGAACTTATCCCAAGGGGCACATAGTGAAGCGTGATTTTGTGTCTTATCTGTTGATTCTCTGATCTGTGTTGGTGATTTCAATGGTTTTGTTAACGTCTTAAGCTCCTGCATCATTTTTGCTCGAGCACAAAAGTTGGGCATATCCAAATGTCTTTGCTTATTCAAAAACACATCTTACATGTCACATGCTTGTGTGATGCATCATTTTAAAGCTAGAGCCTTTGAGTTTGTGTAAATATACACTAAAATAATGTGTGTCATTCCTATTTCACTCTGCAACCTTTGAAGTTTGGGAAAAAAACCTGTTTTTTTTGACCTCACCTAAAATCTTCAATGTATAAATGCCCTAACAAAGGCATACTTCACAATATTCAAACTCTATATGGTCATTGTGTTGTTGACAAAAACTGTCTAAGTTTTTAGACTCTAAGTTTAACAGTTTTTATGCAGTTTCTCTTTTTCATCATAAAAACCATATTTTTTAGTTTTGGTACTTAAATTACTAAATCTATGTGATATTTTTTAATTTTTATTCAAAATTATTTTTTTAGGAGTGTAAATGCATATAAAATATGTACTGTGAGAATTAAAAAGAATTCCTGCATGTCCCACCCCTTGCTACAAAGCTTTTTTTATTGGCTACTCATGATTGAGAGCATGAGGACTAGCAAGATGGCGCCGTGTCAAGGCGCCGCAGTGAACGCTCTGGTGCGCACAATCTGTGTTTTGTTGTTTTTCGTCTGGGATTCACTTGCCACAGTGAAATATGATCGGCAAACACTTCTGTACATTCGGGACCACGCGTGTGACGGGTCACTTGTTTTACCTGAACTGAGGTGCACAAACTTCCTCGAGTGTCCCACTCGAGAGGCTGGTGGAGCACGGCAGGCGGGCCGCGGCGGTGGCCGCCAACAGAGCGAGGGGACTGGGCGTCTCCGGCGTTCTCTCCACGGTGTGGAGCTGGGCACCTCGAGTCGGCGAAGGAGGCGCAGACACCGGGGAAGGCGAGGCGGTCTGCTCGTTCGTAGCTGCTCCTCCAGGACCCCTTTGCCCTCCATCTACCTGGCCAACGTCCAGTCTCTGCCCAAAAAGACGGACGAGCTCCTGTGTCGGGTCCAGAGCCAGCGCGAGGCCCGGGACTGTGTTCTGCCTCAGCGAGACGTGGCTCCACTCGAACGTCCCGGACTCTGCTGTTCAGCCCCCGGGATTCACCGCTCACCGCTCGGACAGAGTGAAGGAGACCACGGGCAAGGCCAGAGGCGGAGGTGTGTGCTTTTTAATTAATCAGCGCTGGTGCACGGACACTCGAGTCGTGAACCAAACATGTACTGCCAATCTGGAATGCCTGGTCTTGAGCTGCCGCCCTTTTTATCTTCCCCGTGATTTTTCAGTGATATTTTTATGTGCTGTTTACATTCACCCACGGGCGGATTACAAAGTAGCCCTACAGGATCTGAGCCAGATCCTTCACAAACATGAGTCTGCTCATCCTAACGCAGTCATCATTGTTGCTGGGGATTTCAATAAATGTAATTTAAAGACTGTACTCCCGAACTTTTACCAACATGTGACTCGAGCTACAAGAGGAGCACATGTTCTGGATCACTGCTACAGTAACGTGAAGGGAGCTTACAGGTCCAGTCTCAGACCTCCTTTTGGAACGTCTGACCACTCCTCTGTTCTCCTTCTTCCTTCGTATACTCAGAGGAGCAGGGAACATAAAGCAACCTCTCGCACTGTGCAGTGTTGGTCTGAGGAGGCTAGCATGAAGCTACAAGGTTGTTTTGATGCTACGTACTGGTCTGTGTTTCAGTCAGAGGACGTCAATGAATTCTGTGACGCTGTGTCTGGATACATACGCTTCTGTATTGACGGCTGTGTCCCACAGAAGGTCATTAAAGAACATTTTAGTCAAAACCCTTGGATGAACGCGGAAGTGAAACTGAAACTTCATGAGCGTGCGTTGGCGTTTCAATCAAATGATACAGTTGCTTATAAGTTATCCTGTTACTCATTGAAACGTTCTATTAAATCTGCAAAGCGCAGTTACGGGGACAGGTTAAAGAGTTATTTTGAGGAAGATGACCCTCGGCGCATGTGGAACGGTATTAAAGCCATCACATCGTGGAAACCTAGCGCTGGGAAAATTGCATCTGTCGGCCAAGCTCTGCCAAACGAGCTGAACACGTTCTACTGTCGCTTTGAATCCGCTGATGCCTCCATTTCCATCCATCCATTTTCTACCCTTTAATCCATTTCTGGGTCAGGGGGGTGGCAGTCAGAGATGCCACCCAAGTCTCATAGCACCAGCCCCTCACTGACCCTCTGCAGGTGGTGAGTCCACAGGAGGACGGCTGCTCTCTGAGTGTGAGCATAGCCTTGATCTTTCAGTGGGGGCTTTGGGCAAAGTGGGGTTAAGTGTCTTGCCCAAGGACACAACGACAGCAGTCATCAGTGGGAGTCGGTGGAGAAGGTGTAGAGGTGGGAATTGAACCCACGACCTTCAGGCCTGAAGGCCAATGCTCTACCAACTGAGCTACTGTCGCTTTGAATCCGCTGATGCCTGTCCTACTGTATTCCCTGAGTGTTTCAATCAAGGTACCTTCACCGTGACTCAGGAGGAAGTTAGGCGTGTCTTGTCCAGGACCACAGTCCGGAAAGCCCCAGGCCCGGACGGCATCCCTCCTCGTGTCCTGAAACTGTGCTCTGAGCAACTTGCTCCTGTGCTAACAGACATTTTCAACCTGTCGCTAAGGAACTGTACTGTGCCGAACTGCTTTAAAGAGTCCACCATCATTCCAGTTCCTAAGAAAACTCCTGTGACATGCCTGAATGACTATCGTCCTGTGGCCCTCACGTCTGTTCTTATGAAAACTTTAGAGCGGCTTGTGCTGGACTTCATTAAGAGCCAGATCCCTGTGAGTGTTGACCCGCTCCAGTTTGCTACAGACAGAACAGGAGTGTGGAGGATGCCATCTCCTTTGCTCTGAACTCTGTCTACAGTCACTTGGACACTAGTAAATCTGTGGCCAGAATGCTTTTCATCGATTATAGCTCTGCTTTTAACTGCCTTGTCCCAGGTAAACTGATTGAAAAGCTCATGTCTCTCGGTTTAAGTGTTGCCATGTGTAAATGGATTTTTAGCTTTTTAACTGACAGATCTCAGAGAGTGAAAATCAATGACCGTTTTTATGATGTTGTTTCTGTGAGCACTGGTTCTCCTCAGGGATGTATTTTGAGTCCTTTGCTTTTACATTGTACACTCATGATTGTGTGTCCTCCTCTGACTCAAACTTGATCATCAAATATGCTGATGACACCACCATCATCGGTCTCATCAGTGACAATGATGAATCCTCTTATAGAGCAGAGATACAAAATGTGGTTCAGTGGAGTCAAACTAACAACCTCCAGTTGAACGCATCCAAAACATGTGAACTGGTCTACGACTTCAGTCGCAATAGTTCTCATTTGCCTGTCGTAATCGACAACTCCCAGGTGCAGATCGTAGAGGAGCAAGTTTCTGGGTTTAACTCTGTCTAACCTGAAATGGGTTAAAAACACTGACCGAGTCGTTAAGAAAGCTCGTCAGCGTCTCTACTTTCTGCGTAAACTTTTATGGCTGCACCATTGAGAGTTTACTTGTTGGTTCTGTGTCTGTGTGGTTTGGAAACATCACAGATAAAGAAAAGAGAGCTTTAAACAAGGTGCTCCGCTCTGCAAAGAGGACCGTGGGCTGTGAGCTTCCTGTTCTGGAGGTTCTTTATAAATCCAGACTTTTAAACAAAGCTCTTAGGATTGTTAATGACTCTTCTGGCCACCCTGGGAAAGCCATGTTCCAGCTTCTTCCCTCTGGCAGAAGATATCGCTCTCTGAGATGCAGGACATCTCGTTACGCTAACAGTTTTTATCCACAAGCTGTGATCAGTGTGAACAGAGCACTTTAATGATTTGCACTTGTTTTGAAACTGTTTTAGTCGATCCATTTCACAGTGACATTTGTTTACTGTTTTATTTGTTTTATTTCTGTCTTTTAATGTTGTTTTATGTCTGTATTTGTCTGTGCACACTGGTGACTTTTGCTAATGTATTCCAATGTGGTGTTTTTACTGCAAATGGCAAATAAACTTAATCTGAAGCTGATCATGTCAATCATTCAGCAATAGAACTTTTCCCTATCCTTCTGGCTAACAACAAATACAAACGGACCCTGTGCAAATGTTGTTCGCTTGTCTTCTTCACGGGCCTGTTGCAGACTAATGCAGGCTCCTATCTCTTCATGGAAGCTCTCATTTGGTAGCTAACAAGTTGGGGAACACGAACATACCCTGTTTGTGGGTGAAAGTGAAAGCGCCTGTGTTTTTTCAGAACTTTTTTAGCTAAACAAAAATGTGCATTCTTTGATTATTTCTCCAGAATGGATTATACTTTGTAAAATACAAGTGGATTTTCTTTTTCCATGGACATATACGGAGTGAATGAGCATAAGCAATGATGGGGTAAGTCTAAGCAGCAGAATACGAAAGGTAAAAAAACGTATACAGACGTCATTTATTTTGTGCCCATATTATGCGTTATATCTTTTTAATGCAAAGTCTGATATCGTTTACACTTATATATAAATGATGAGATGAGAGATGAGAAAATAAGCTTTAAAATGATATATAGCTTGTGGGTTATGAAGTTCAAAATACATCTGCTATTGCCAGCAGATGTATTTTTTTCTCATTTAAGGGGTTGTCTCTGAGATGATGCTGTTGTGAGTTAGGGCTATACAAGAATAAGTTGTTGTTGTTGTTGTCTTTGATTCATACATTCTCCACAAACCTGTTGAATGACCTTGACAAGGTCCTTCAGCACTTGCCTCCTCTTCCTCACGTCTTTGTTGGTAATGACAGCGGTAGTGAGGTATCGCAGGATGTGTGGGCACATGGTCTGAATGGCATTGAGATACCTGGGAACGCAGTCAAACCACAAAGGTCCAAGTCAGACTGACTACAACAACAGAACATATGTTTACGTTATTATTGAGGTGTGAGTCGAGGGTTTGCTGGTTCCTTACAGACTAAAGTCAAATGCAGGCTTACAAAAAGGCTGAAAATAAGATGTTTGAGGCGATTGCCGTGCAACACATTTTAGTTTTAAGATGGTATTTTTTTTTAAACCATGGGAATGAATAGGTATAACTGTAACATGGTGTCACAGAACATATTTATACTTGATAACATTATACAGGAGCTTCTGCTGCTATAGACTTCATTAATATATATCTTCCCCTGTTTTGTCACTGGCTGAACAAGGAAAGGGAGAACTATTTGGTAAAGGACTTTTGAATAACTTCTCATGACACTAATCCGTTTATAAGTATAAATATATAGTGATAATCTTAGACCACGTTGCTATCCGTCTTTACTCTTGTGCGGTCCTTCTCCCTGTTCGTCTGCACAGGGACAACAGACGCTCTGGAGGGAGCTCTGTTCATGTGTTCTGTGCACTGTCCTTGTTTAGATACACAAACAAATAAACAATGAAACATGTGGTGGTTAGAAGAGCCAGGTTGAAAGAGAAGGAAAAAACAATAAATAAGATGGAAGCAGATCCAAAAGGCAGGTGATGTCCTTGATTAGATTATTTCTGATACAGACAAAAAACATGCCCAATGTCCTGTTTTTATGATTTCTTTGAATACTCACTGAGGCTGGTAGAGGAAGAGCTCGATAATGTTGTCTCTGCCTTTGGGGTGATTAAAGAAGACAAACAGAGACCAGTGAATGAGCCACGTCCTCTGCTGCAGCGACTGGAGCGGCGAGCTGACCGACTGCAGGAAAACGTTCATACATGTCATCGTGTCCAATACAGGAGATGTTTATCCATCTAGGTGTTTCAGTGCAATAGTCTAGAATATTCTAGAATCAGACTCAAAAGGTCTTACGTTGTTGTCGATGGTTTCTCTCAGTCGGGTCAGGTCTTCCATCGCTGCTTCCCAGTTCTGCATCAGGATCTCGGAGGCCAGTTTCCCCCAGAGAGAGCTCAGGGCGTTTCTGTCCGTGGAGGGCACCTACAGAAGGGTTAGGGTCTATTAACAAACTAAGAAAATCAAATCTCTATCTTTAGCATAATAAGAAATATATACTTGTGTGTTTAGGTCTGTAGATACATCTGTAGTACACAGGAATATGAGGGTCTGAGGCGTTTCATTAGGACTAATATAAGGCTTTATACAGTGGGGCAAAAAAGTATTTAGTCAGCCACCGATTATTTTAAGTGGGAGAAATTTCACAATGACAGAGGTCTGTAATTTTCATCATAGGTTCACTTCAACTGTGAGACAGAATGTGGGAAAAAAAAATCCATGAATTCACATTGTAGGATTTTTTAAGAATATTTTTGTAAATTATGATGGAAAATAAGTATTTGGTCAATAACAAAAACTCAATACTTTGTAATATAACCTTTGTTGGCAATAACAGAGGTCAAACGATTACTATAGGTCTTTACCAGGTTTGCACACACAGTAGCTGGTGTTTTGGCCCATTCCTCCATGCAGATCTTCTCGAGAGCAGTGATGTTTTGGGGCTGTCGCCGAGAAACCCCCATGCTTCACAGTAGGTATGGTGTTCTTGGGATGCAACTCAGTATTCTTCTTCCTCCAAACACGACGAGTTGAGTTTATACCAAACAGTTGTACTTTGGGTTCATCTGACCACATGACATTCTCCCAATCCTCTGCTGTATCATCCATGTGCTCTCTGGCAAACTTCAGACGGGCCTGGACATGCACTGGCTTCAGCAGGGGGACACGTCTGGCACTGCAGGATTTGATTCCCTGTCGTCGTAGTGTGTTACTAATGGTAACCTTTGTTACTTTGGTCCCAGCTCTCTGCAGGTCATTCACCAGGTCCCCCCGTGTGCTTCTGGGATTTTTGATCACCGTTCTCATGATCATTTTGACCCCACGGGATGAGATCTTGCGTGGAGCCCCAGATCGAGGGAGATTATCAGTGGTCTTGTATGCCTTCCATTTTCTGATAATTGCTCCCACAGTTGATTTGTTCACACCAAGCTGCTTGCCTATTGTAGATTCACTCTTCCCAGTCTGGTGCAGGTCTACAATTCTTTTCCTGGTGTCCTTCGACAGCTCTTTGGTCTTGGCCATAGTGGAGTTTGGAGTCTGACTGTTTGAGGCTGTGGACAGGTGTCTTTTATACAGATAACGAGTGCCATTAATACAGGTAACAAGTGGAGGACAGAAGAGCTTCTTAAAGTAGTATTAGAATTTTATTTTACCAATTGCAGTTTTTGTAAGGTTAGAGCCATATAAACATTTTTTGGGGGAAAAGACTAAAAAAAGAAAAATAGATGTAAATTATTACATTTTCTGAAATTACCAGTTAATAACATGCCCCTGATGTGTGACGTAGGTGAATGATATTCTGAATCCAAAAACGCGCCTACTATGTACTATACTGTACACTTACTCAAACGCTTTTTTTAACTTTTCTTCGCCTTATTGCCAATAACGAGGTGGGAAAAGTGCGTCGCTTCCCAAACCCTACAACGGAGAAGTGATTTGACGAGGGGAACAGACGCGTCTTTTGGACCTGCCCTTCCCTGTCTGTTTTCTGCAGGAGATCCTGTGGTGTCTTTTGAACCTGCCCTGTCTGTCTGTCTGCTGCAGGAGATCCTGTGGTGTCTGTTGGACCTGCCCTTCCCTGTGTCTTCTGCAGGAGATCCTGTGGTGTCTTTTGGACCTGCCCTGTCTGTCTGTCTGCTGCAGGAGATCCTGTGGTGTCTTTTGGACCTGCCCTGTCTGTCTGTCTACTGCAGGAGATCCTGTGGTGTCTGTTGGACCTGCCCTTCCCTGTCTGTCTGCTGCAGGAGATCCTGTGGTGTCTGTTGGACCTGCCCTTCCCTGTCTGTCTGCTGCAGGAGATCCTGTGGTGTCTTTTGGACCTGCCCTGTCTGTCTGTCTACTGCAGGAGATCCTGTGGTGTCTGTTGGACCTGCCCTTCCCTGTCTGTCTGCTGCAGGAGATCTTGTGGTGTCTTTTGGACCTGCCCTTCCCAGTCTGTCTGCTGCATGAGATCTTGTGGTGTCTTTTGGACCTGCCCTTCCCAGTCTGTCTGCTGCAGGAGATCCTGTGGTGTCTGTTCTGAGCACTTCAGGACTCGTTTGAACACATTAACTCAGTGGCAGCGTCTTTGGGATACAAGACAAAGGCTACATTAAAACCTGAAGCCGTCCCAACTGTCTTTAAACGAAAGGAGCAGAGCGAGGCATCCCCAACTGCCACAAGGACCATTTACAGTAGCGTCTCATACACTACAAGTAGCTAGCTAATTAGCTTGAATCTCACAGGCTAAAAGGTTAAAAGAGTTGCACACAATTATGTAGGAAACTGATGAAAATATGTTTCTACCTTGTTCAGATGACAGTGAAACCCTCAATTATTCCCCACATCCATCCTCAATTCACTCGCTGCTGTATAGATTCCAGTCATGACTGCTGTCTAAGATCATTCTCCTACATCATACGCTGCAATGGGGCTCCCCCTAGCGTTTCTGTGCGGAAGTGAAAAAATGCGACTTCAAAGCCGGTTTTTAAACATAATTCATCTTAACATGTCAAAATGAACACCCAAAATATTATAAACACATATTGTAGTTATATATTCTGGATAGCAGAATGGTAAATTCTAGTACTACTTTAAAGAAGAAGTTACAGGTCTGTGAGAGCCAGAGATCTTCCCTGTTTGAAGCGACCAAATACTTATTTTCCATCATAATTTACAAATAAATTCTACAATGTGAATTCCTGTATTTTTTCCTTCACATTCTGTCTCTCACAGTTGAATTGAACCTATGATGAAAAGTACAGACCTCTGTCATTATTTTGAGTGGGAGAACTTGCACAATCGGTGGCAGACTAAATACTTTTTTGCCCCACTGTTTGAATAGGTTTAAATGAGGATTCTCCTGGATCAATGTGAAATAAAGACTAATGACTGACTAATGTATTTTAAGTAGTTTATATATTTAACCCTGAGCTCCTGTGAGTATTTTTCTAAAGTTTTAAAAACACTTTTTACTAAGTTGTGCAGCACAGAACTACATGACTGTTGTGATTGATTAGAGTCATCACTTCCAATCACACTATAAAAGGTGATCAATTGCTAATCCAGACAGAATAGTTTATTTAGTTTCAGAGTTGTTCTTCTCACCAAAACACGGAAGAAGTAGAGGTATTCGGCAGCTCCGGAGTAGTTCCCGCACTCGTACTGGAACTTGGCGTATCTGTAAAGAGTATCCAAGTATTCCTGACGGAACTAAAGGAAACAGTTACACAGTAGATTACACAGTAAACGATGGAAGATGAAGACACTAAATCTAACAGACTCCATTTGTATTAAGTTGTAAGTATGCGTTGTCATAGAAACAACTATTTAGGAGGACTAAGGACTGAAACTCACATTGTGTTTTTCTGACAGGTACTCGAACAGCATCCTCCCGTCTCTGACAAACAAGAAAACAACAGGTGAGAAACTCACACAGTGGAACTAACGACATTTCAATCACATTCAGTTCTGTGATTGCTTCTGAAAGGAGAGGCGAACAGGAAGTGTAGGAATATCATAAAAAACACATTGTTCTGGTCTCGTCACGGACACGCACCTCGTGGACTGCATCTGTCGAGTTGTTTCTGGATCCTCAAACATCTTCACGATGGGCTCGGTCTCTGACTGGAGCTGCTTCAGCTGCGCCACAACCGTGGTTCTCTTCTCCTTCAGAGCTTTAGGAGAGAAAGAGGAGAATAATGCATAACACTGCATCATTGGACACACTTTAATATTTGTTAAAGTGTTCGTATTCGTTTCTCTTGATGTTGTTGTGCATCAAATGACTACGCTGTAACCTGTATATAGAGGACCTCCACGAAAACGAGATGATGCATCTCATGGGGTTATTCCTCTTTAAATAAATGTCTAAATAAATAAAGGATATTATGAAGGATAAGGCTTTGTCAATTTCTCCTGTGTGAGATCAATAAAGCCTATCTTATCTTATCTCTTACGATAGATAAACTGAGCCATCATCGCACCATAATTATGCATTCAATTGTGTGCAATAATTTTCAAATAAAATATAAAATGACAGTAATAAGTACAGTAATAATAGAAAATACCATTTTACTAATGACTGGTGTTGGACTCACTGGTTGGAATGTCTTTATCCGGGTACAGGTTCTTATACACATCCATGGCAAAGTCCACCATGTTAGTGTCGCTGAGCAGGTCCAGCTTCCCCTGGAGCAGCTCCTTTTCATTGTAAATCTGAAAAAGAACAATAACGAGGAATACGTCAGTAAAGAAGCACTCACACATGTTAGCACCACACTGTACACACATCAGATTCAGATTCAGTTTATTTGCCATTTCCAGTTAAAAAAACACATTGGAATACATTAGCAAAAAGTCTCCAGTGTGCACAGACAGTGTGTGCACAGTGTGCACAGTTACTGTGTGTCTAAAACATGTTAGCACTACACTGTACACACATGTAGTTACTGTGAGTCTAAAACATGTTAGCACTACACTGTACACACATGTAGTTACTGTGAGTCTAAAACATGTTAGCACTACACTGTACACACATGTAGTTACTGTGAGTCTAAAACATGTTAGCACTACACTGTACACACATGTTAAAAACCATACCGCACACACACTATACACACGTAAATAACCACACACTATACACACATGTAAATAACCACACTACAATAACATGTAAATAACCACACTGTACACACATGTAAATAACCACACTACACACACATGTAAATAACCACACTGTAGACACATGTAAATAACCACACTGTAGACACATGTAAATAACCACACTGTACACACATGTAAATAACCACACTACACACACATGTAAATAACCACACTGTACACACATGTAAATAACCACACTGTACACACATGTAAATAACCACACTACACACACATGTAAATAACCACACTGTAGACACATGTAAATAACCACACTGTAGACACATGTAAATAACCACACTGTACACACATGTAAATAACCACACTGTACACACATGTAAATAACCACACTGTACACACATGTAAATAACCACACTGTACACACATGTAAATAACCACACTACACACACATGTAAATAACCACACTGTACACACATGTAAATAACCACACTGTACACACATGTAAATAACCACACTGTACACACATGTAAATAACCACACTGTAGACACATGTAAATAACCACACTGTAGACACATGTAAATAACCACACTGTACACACATGTAAATAACCACACTACACACACATGTAAATAACCACACTGTAGACACATGTAAATAACCACACTGTACACACATGTAAATAACCACACTGTACACACATGTAAATAACCACACTACACACACATGTAAATAACCACACTGTACACACATGTAAATAACCACACTGTACACACATGTAAATAACCACACTGTACACACATGTAAATAACCACACTGTAGACACATGTAAATAACCACACTGTAGACACATGTAAATAACCACACTGTACACACATGTAAATAACCACACTGTACACACATGTAAATAACCACACTGTAGACACATGTAAATAACCACACTACACACACATGTAAATAACCACACTGTAGACACATGTAAATAACCACACTGTAGACACATGTAAATAACCACACTGTAGACACATGTAAATAACCACACTGTAGACACATGTAAATAACCACACTGTACACACATGTAAATAACCACACTGTACACACATGTAAATAACCACACTGTAGACACATGTAAATAACCACACTGTAGACACATGTAAATAACCACACTGTAGACACATGTAAATAACCACACTGTACACACATGTAAATAACCACACTGTAGACACATGTAAATAACCACACTGTAGACACATGTAAATAACCACACTGTAGACACATGTAAATAACCACACTGTAGACACATGTAAATAACCACACTGTACACACATGTAAATAACCACACTGTAGACACATGTAAATAACCACACTGTAGACACATGTAAATAACCACACTGTAGACACATGTAAATAACCACACTGTACACACATGTAAATAACCACACTGTAGACACATGTAAATAACCACACTGTACACACATGTAAATAACCACACTGTACACACATGTAAATAACCACACTGTACACACATGTAAATAACCACACTGTACACACATGTAAATAACCACACTGTAGACACATGTAAATAACCACACTGTAGACACATGTAAATAACCACACTGTAGACACATGTAAATAACCACACTGTAGACACATGTAAATAACCACACTGTACACACATGTAAATAACCACACTGTAGACACATGTAAATAACCACACTGTAGACACATGTAAATAACCACACTGTAGACACATGTAAATAACCACACTGTAGACACATGTAATTAACCACACTGTACACACATGTAAATAACCACACTGTACACACATGTAAATAACCACACTGTACACACATGTAAATAACCACACTACACACACATGTAAATAACCACACTACACACACATGTAAATAACCACACTGTACACACATGTAAATAACCACACTGTAGACACATGTAAATAACCACACTGTAGACACATGTAAATAACCACACTGTAGACACATGTAAATAACCACACTACACACACATGTAAATAACCACACTGTAGACACATGTAAATAACCACACTGTACACACATGTAAATAACCACACTGTAGACACATGTAAATAACCACACTGTACACACATGTAAATAACCACACTACACACACATGTAAATAACCACACTGTACACACATGTAAATAACCACACTGTACACACATGTAAATAACCACACTGTAGACACATGTAAATAACCACACTGTAGACACATGTAAATAACCACACTGTAGACACATGTAAATAACCACACTGTAGACACATGTAAATAACCACACTGTAGACACATGTAAATAACCACACTGTACAACACATGTAAATAACCACACTGTAGACACATGTAAATAACCACACTGTACACACATGTAAATAACCACACTACACACACATGTAAATAACCACACTGTACACACATGTAAATAACCACACTACACACACATGTAAATAACCACACTGTAGACACATGTAAATAACCACACTACACACACATGTAAATAACCACACTGTACACACATGTAAATAACCACACTACACACACATGTAAATAACCACACTGTAGACACATGTAAATAACCACACTGTACACACATGTAAATAACCACACTGTAGACACATGTAAATAACCACACTGTAGACACATGTAAATAACCACACACTACACACACATGTAAATAACCACACTATACACACATGTAAATAACCACACTATACACACATGTAAATAACCACACTGTAGACACATGTAAATAACCACACTGTAGACACATGTAAATAACCACACAACATGTAAATAACCACACTGTAGACACATGTAAATAACCACACTGTACACACATGTAAATAACCACACTGTACACACATGTAAATAACCACACTGTACACACATGTAAATAACCACACACTAAACACATGTAAATAACCACACTGTAGACACATGTAAATAACCACACTGTACACACATGTAAATAACCACACTGTACACACATGTAAATAACCACACCACACATGTAAATAACCACACTGTAGACACATGTAAATAACCACACTGTACACACATGTAAATAACCACACTGTAGACTGTAAATAACCACACTGTACAACACATGTAAATAACCACACTGTGTAAATAACCACACACACACACACACATGTAAATAACCACACTGTAGACACATGTAAATAACCACACTGTACACACATGTAAATAACCACACTGTAGACACATGTAAATAACCACACTGTAACACATGTAAATAACCACACTGTACACACATGTAAATAACCACACTGTAGACACATGTAAATAACCACACTGTAGACACATGTAAATAACCACACTGTAGACACATGTAAATAACCACACTATACACACATGTAAATAACCACACTATACACACATGTAAATAACCACACTGTAGACACATGTAAATAACCACACTGTAGACACATGTAAATAACCACACTGTAGACACATGTAAATAACCACACTGTACACACATGTAAATAACCACACTGTACACACATGTAAATAACCACACTGTAGACACATGTAAATAACCACACTGTAGACACATGTAAATAACCACACTATACACACATGTAAATAACCCACACTGTACAACATGTAAATAACCACACTGTAGACACATGTAAATAACCACACTGTAGACACATGTAAATAACCACACTGTACACATGTAAATAACCACACACTGTACACACATGTAAATAACCACACTGTACACACATGTAAATAACCACACTGTAGACACATGTAAATAACCACACTGTAGACACATGTAAATAACCACACTGTACACACATGTAAATAACCACACACTATACACACATGTAAATAACCACACTGTAGACACATGTAAATAACCACACTGTACACATGTAAATAACCACACTGTAGACACATGTAAATAACCACACTGTAGACACATGTAAATAACCACACTGTAGACACATGTAAATAACCACACTGTAGACACATGTAAATAACCACACTGTAGACACATGTAAATAACCACACTACACACATGTAAATAACCACACTGTAGACACATGTAAATAACCACACTGTAGACACATGTAAATAACCACACTGTAGACACATGTAAATAACCACACTGTACACACATGTAAATAACCACACTACACACACATGTAAATAACCACACTACACACACATGTAAATAACCACACTACACACATGTAAATAACCACACTGTAGACACATGTAAATAACCACACTGTAGACACATGTAAATAACCACACTGTACACACATGTAAATAACCACACTGTAGACACATGTAAATAACCACACTGTACACACATGTAAATAACCACACTGTAGACACATGTAAATAACCACACTGTACACACATGTAAATAACCACACTGTACACACATGTAAATAACCACACTGTAGACACATGTAAATAACCACACTGTAGACACATGTAAATAACCACACTGTACACACATGTAAATAACCACACTATACACACATGTAAATAACCACACTGTAGACACATGTAAATAACCACACTGTACACACATGTAAATAACCACACTGTACACACATGTAAATAACCACACTGTACACATGTAAATAACCACACTGTAGACACATGTAAATAACCACACTGTAGACACATGTAAATAACCACACTGTAGACACATGTAAATAACCACACTGTAGACACATGTAAATAACCACACTGTAGACACATGTAAATAACCACACTACACACACATGTAAATAACCACACTGTAGACACATGTAAATAACCACACTGTAGACACATGTAAATAACCACACTACACACACATGTAAATAACCACACTGTAGACACATGTAAATAACCACACTACACACACATGTAAATAACCACACTGTAGACACATGTAAATAACCACACTGTACACACATGTAAATAACCACACTATACACATGTAAATAACCACACTGTAGACACATGTAAATAACCACACTGTAGACACATGTAAATAACCACACTGTACACACATGTAAATAACCACACTATACACATGTAAATAACCACACTGTACACACATGTAAATAACCACACTGTAGACACATGTAAATAACCACACTGTAGACACATGTAAATAACCACACTACACACACATGTAAATAACCACACTGTAGACACATGTAAATAACCACACTGTAGACACATGTAAATAACCACACTGTAGACACATGTAAATAACCACACTGTACACACATGTAAATAACCACACTACACACACATGTAAATAACCACACTACACACACATGTAAATAACCACACTACACACATGTAAATAACCACACTGTAGACACATGTAAATAACCACACTGTAGACACATGTAAATAACCACACTGTACACACATGTAAATAACCACACTGTAGACACATGTAAATAACCACACTGTACACACATGTAAATAACCACACTGTAGACACATGTAAATAACCACACTGTACACACATGTAAATAACCACACTGTACACACATGTAAATAACCACACTGTACACACATGTAAATAACCACACTGTAGACACATGTAAATAACCACACTGTAGACACATGTAAATAACCACACTGTAGACAGATGTAAATAACCACACTACACACACATGTAAATAACCACACTGTAGACACATGTAAATAACCACACTGTACACACATGTAAATAACCACACTGTACACACATGTAAATAACCACACTGTAGACACATGTAAATAACCACACTGTAGACACATGTAAATAACCACACTGTACACACATGTAAATAACCACACTGTACACACATGTAAATAACCACACTGTAGACACATGTAAATAACCACACTGTAGACACATGTAAATAACCACACTGTACACACATGTAAATAACCACACTATACACACATGTAAATAACCACACTGTAGACACATGTAAATAACCACACTGTACACACATGTAAATAACCACACTGTACACACATGTAAATAACCACACTGTACACACATGTAAATAACCACACTGTACACATGTAAATAACCACACTGTAGACACATGTAAATAACCACACTGTAGACACATGTAAATAACCACACTGTAGACACATGTAAATAACCACACTGTAGACACATGTAAATAACCACACTGTAGACACATGTAAATAACCACACTACACACACATGTAAATAACCACACTGTAGACACATGTAAATAACCACACTGTAGACACATGTAAATAACCACACTACACACACATGTAAATAACCACACTGTAGACACATGTAAATAACCACACTGTAGACACATGTAAATAACCACACTGTAGACACATGTAAATAACCACACTGTACACACATGTAAATAACCACACTACACACACATGTAAATAACCACACTGTAGACACATGTAAATAACCACACTGTACACACATGTAAATAACCACACTATACACATGTAAATAACCACACTGTAGACACATGTAAATAACCACACTGTAGACACATGTAAATAACCACACTGTACACACATGTAAATAACCACACTATACACATGTAAATAACCACACTGTACACACATGTAAATAACCACACTGTAGACACATGTAAATAACCACACTGTAGACACATGTAAATAACCACACTGTAGACAGATGTAAATAACCACACTGTAGACACATGTAAATAACCACACTGTAGACACATGTAAATAACCACACTGTACACACATGTAAATAACCACACTGTAGACACATGTAAATAACCACACTGTACACACATGTAAATAACCACACTGTAGACACATGTAAATAACCACACTGTAGACACATGTAAATAACCACACTGTAGACACATGTAAATAACCACACTACACACATGTAAATAACCACACTGTAGACACATGTAAATAACCACACTATACACACATGTAAATAACCACACTGTAGACACATGTAAATAACCACACTGTAGACACATGTAAATAACCACACTGTACACACATGTAAATAACCACACTGTAGACACATGTAAATAACCACACTGTAGACACATGTAAATAACCACACTACACACATGTAAATAACCACACTGTACACACATGTAAATAACCACACTGTAGACACATGTAAATAACCACACTGTACAACATGTAACCACACTGTACACACATGTAAATAACCACACTGTAGACACATGTAAATAACCACACTGTAGACACATGTAAATAACCACACTGTACACACATGTAAATAACCACACTACACACACATGAAAATAACCACACTGTACACACATGTAAATAACCACACTGTAGACACATGTAAATAACCACACTACACACATGTAAATAACCACACTATACACACATGTAAATAACCACACTGTACACACATGTAAATAACCACACTATACACACATGTAAATAACCACACTGTAGACACATGTAAATAACCACACTGTAGACACATGTAAATAACCACACTGTAGACACATGTAAATAACCACACTGTACACACATGTAAATAACCACACTGTACACACATGTAAATAACCACACTGTACACACATGTAAATAACCACACTGTAGACACATGTAAATAACCACACTGTAGACACATGTAAATAACCACACTGTAGACACATGTAAATAACCACACTGTACACACATGTAAATAACCACACTGTAGACAGATGTAAATAACCACACTACACACACATGTAAATAACCACACTGTAGACACATGTAAATAACCACACTACACACACATGTAAATAACCACACTGTACACACATGTAAATAACCACACTGTAGACACATGTAAATAACCACACTGTAGACACATGTAAATAACCACACTGTAGACACATGTAAATAACCACACTACACACACATGTAAATAACCACACTACACACACATGTAAATAACCACACTGTACACACATGTAAATAACCACACTGTACACACATGTAAATAACCACACTGTAGACACATGTAAATAACCACACTGTAGACACATGTAAATAACCACACTATACACACATGTAAATAACCACACTGTACACACATGTAAATAACCACACTACACACATGTAAATAACCACACTGTAGACACATGTAAATAACCACACTGTAGACACATGTAAATAACCACACTGTACACACATGTAAATAACCACACTGTAGACAGATGTAAATAACCACACTGTAGACACATGTAAATAACCACACTGTAGACACATGTAAATAACCACACACTACACACACATGTAAATAACCACACTGTAGACACATGTAAATAACCACACTGTACACACATGTAAATAACCACACTGTACACACATGTAAATAACCACACTGTAGACACATGTAAATAACCACACTGTACACACATGTAAATAACCACACTGTAGACACATGTAAATAACCACACTGTAGACACATGTAAATAACCACACTATACACATGTAAATAACCACACTGTAGACACATGTAAATAACCACACTGTAGACACATGTAAATAACCACACTGTAGACACATGATGAAGCTAGTTACGGTCTACAGAGAGTCTGTTAAAGATGCGAGTCTAATGTAAAAAATGTAAATAAGAAATAAAAGCTTAGTACGTGCCTTTGCCGTCATAAAAGCAGTAAAAACGTGTCTTGTTGTTAGCCGTTAGCCTTTAGCCGTTAGCCTTTAGCCGTTAGCCTTTAGCCGTTAGCCTTTAGCCGTTAGCCTTTAGCCGTTAGCCTTTAGCCCAAACGCCGGTTTGTGTGTCTGAATCTGAATACGGTTTAATGATGACGTAACAAGTTAGGGTTAGCAAGCTAATAAGACATTTTAGAGCCCAATTCTAAATGAACAGAGGAAACACTTACCTCTTTCACAGTGAGGAACTCTAAGAGAGGAAAAACCAAATGTCGATCCAGAAAATGTGCTATTTGAGTTGTTAGATCGTAATCCGCCATCTTGGCTGAGTCAAAATTAAACTTTATGGACAAACGTAACAACACGTAAGTACCAAGCCTACGTCACAACCTACGTCATAGCCTCCTGTGTAAATGATGGCCGTATCAATAATAAAGTCATTTCATGCTACTTTTAAAACTCTATGTAACAGTCATAAACGAACCATGAATGAATGATGCAGATTTTAAGGGTATGATTGTTGATAATGAGACAGAATAGAGATTTAATAGTTACCTAATGTAACTTAAGTTCTACGAATAGGTGCATAGTCCCTTAGGACTTCGCAAGTGGGATATCACTCGTGACCCCCAGGTCACACGCCAGAGAGATCAAAATAATTTGCTCCAATCACCAGCCACCCTCCTCTATAAAGGCCCCTGCGCAAGGCCGCACCCCCTCTTGAACTCTGCCAAGCCGGGGTGGCCTGATGGGCTCGTAGCTAAGGGACTACGCACCTATTCGTAGAACTTAAGTTACATTAGGTAACTATTAATTCTACGTCATGGTGCTACGTCCCTTAGGACATCGCTAGTGGGACACAACGCGGAGGCCGTAGGAAAATGTACTCCCAGCAGGCCAGCGAAGGGTGATTGGAGCTCCGCCCGAGCAAGACCCTCACACAGTGAGAGGACTCAGGGCAGAAGAAACAAATGCGTGTTACCGGGCCACTCCTACCAAGGATACCCCCACGTAACACAGACCGTAGGTCACCCGTAGTCCCAGGACGCCTCTCCCAAGAGCTCCTGACGTGGACTACCGACCGACCAAAACACACATATAAGTACCGCACCTGTAGGACGCCTCTCCCAAGAGCTCCTGAACCAGGGCGGAAAGTCAACCGAAGGCCCCCTCAGAGGAGGGACCTAACGGTCCAACTCAGTCCGCTGCACTCAGCACGGAATGGGCCACCGACCGGTCCGACACATCCAAAAGATAAGACCGGACGAAAGAAGAGGACGACGCCCAAGAAGCCGCACGGCAGACGTCCTCGACCGACGCCCCCCTGAGAAGGGCCGTAGAGGCCGCCATCCCACGCGTGGAATGCGACCTGAAGCCCACCGGGGGGGCCAGACCCTGCGTCTGATACGCCCGCCGCACAGCCGTGGCAACCCAGTGCGCCAGCCGCTGAGCCGACAGCGGAGCGCCCCTGTTCTTGGGGCCCAGACACACAAACAGCTGACCACCCAACCTGAATGACGAAGTCATGGCCAGGTAATGCCTCAGCATTCTGACAGGACACAGAAGGTGCCGCCGCTCCTCCTCGGGGGAGGCATGCGGTGGCGGATAGAAAGCCCTAATCCTGATCACTCTCGACCTATTGTATTGTATTGTATGTACTTTATTTGAACAGGGACAGTGTACAGTTAAGCATTAACACAAAAGGAGAGATGCATGTACCAGGTTATAGCAGAGATGCTAATTTACACCTGTAGTCCCTGGGCAGGCTGGTGTTATGTTCATTTAAACTGATTACAATGTAGATGGATACATGACTGTGTCTTACATTTACAGGCTTTAAATAACATCATTCACAAAACATTAAGTTTAATAACAATAAATAAAGCTCCCCAATTTCTACTAGAATATTACACTCACTCACTCACTCACTCACTCACTCACTTGTGCGTGCAAACTTGCTTTTTCAGAAGCCATTTCTTAGTCAGCCAAGAAAATGTTTTAAATGTAGCACACGCAATGATCTCTGTGGGCAGTGTGTTCCACTGACTCATGGCCGTCACAGAAAAAGCAGATTTAGCAAAAGTTGTTCTACATTTTTTGATGCTGCATTCTCCTCTAGAAGTGGATCGAGTGGTTCTGGTCATTTTGTCTGCACTCAATGAAACAAATTTTCTTAGAGGAGGTGCACTAACACCATAAAGGCCGACGTGATGACCTTGGGGAGAAAGGCCGGATTGGGCCACAATTCCACCATGCCGTCACCCTCTCCAAAGGACAGGCAAGACGCATGGACAGAGAGCGCACACAAGTCGCCCGCCCTCTTAGCAGACGCCAACGCCAGCAAGAGGGCCGTCTTAAAAGCGACACACTCGGGACTCGCCTCCGCCGCCGGTTCAAAAGGCGGACCCGACAGCCCCCTAAGGACCACCCTGAGGTCCCAAACCGGGGGCGTTCTCTGGAGCGGGCTCCAGCGCGCCTCCCCCCTGGACTAGAGCCCCCGGCTCGTCCGGGAGGGCCCAGGGCTCCATCACCGCCATGCCCCTCAGGAAGGGGAACCACCGGGCATGCGGACTGTCCGGAGCCACCAGGATCACCGACCTCCTCTCCTGTTCGATCCTCCGCAGCAGGACCGGCAGGAGACGCACTGGTGGGAAAGCGTACAGCAGGCCCTCTGGCCAGGGGTAATGAGCCAGAGCGTCCACGCCTAGGGGCGGCTCGTCCGCGGCCCTTAAGGCAAACCAGGACGGGCACTGTGCGTTTTCTGCACTGGCGAAAAGGTCGACCACTGGACGGCCGAACCTCCCCCAGATCTCCGCAGCTACCCGTGGGGCCAGGCCCCACTCGTCCTGGAGTGGGCCCCCCCATGACATCCTGTCGGCCCCTAAGTTCCGGACCCCCGGGACGTGGCGCGCCCTGAGAGACAGGAGGTGAAGCGCCGCCCACAGCAGCGTCACCGTCGCCATGCGATGGAGAGCGGGGGACCTGGTGCCCCCCTGCCTGTTCAGATAGGAGACCACTGTGGTGTTGTCTGAGCGAACCATCACGTGTCTCCCCTGCAGTTGAGGAGCAAAGTGCAGCAGTACCCTGTGCACTGCCTCCATCTCCAGCAGGTTGATGTGACGGGCTGAGTCCGACCAGCAGCCTCCTACAGAGCTCTGGCCGAGGACCCCGCCCCAACCTTTGAGTGACGCGTCCGTGAACACCTCCACGTGAGACACGGCGCAGGCCAGAGTCACTCCGTCCCGCAATAGACCCGGAGTGAGCCAGAACCTGATGTCCGCTGCTGCCACTTGTGGAACCCAGATCAGCCTCCCCCCGTCCCGGGAGGGGTGAAGCCTGAGGCGTGAGAACCACCTCTGAAAATTCCTCATGTGGAGAAGGCCTAGCCGCACCACAGCATAAGCCGCCGCCATCATTCCCAGCAGGGACCTGAGGCGCCGAGCGGGACTTTGGGGCCCGCCAGAACCTCCCTGGCCAGACGGGTAATGTTCATCCGTCTGTCCACGGACAATGCAGCACGGAATGTCACAGAGTCTAGCTGCAGGCCGAGATAAATCATGCGCTGAGCGGGCTGCAGCTTGCTTTTCTCCCTGTTTACCACAAAGCCCAGACGCTGTATGTGGGACAGGACCCAGTGCGTATAACTCACGGCCACTTCCCTGGATGAGGCCAGAATTAACCAGTCGTCTATGTAGGTTAAAATTTTTACCCCTGCGCGTCTGAGCGGCTCTAGTGCTGCCTCCACGCGCGAGTGCGTAGCCGAAGGGGAGACGGCAGTACTCGTAATTCCTCTCTCCCACTGCGAAGCGCAGAAACCTCCTGTGTTCCGGCACTATCGGCACGTGGAAGTAAGCGTCTGTCAGGTCTATGGAGGACATCCAATCTCCCTGCCTGACACACTCGAGGAGCTGCTTTGTGGACAGCATCCGAAACTGCCGTTTGGAAATGCACTCGTTCAAAACGCGCAGATCCAAAATGGGACGAACCCGGCCTGACTTCTTTGGCACCAAGAAGTAAGGGGAGTACAGCCCCCTGGTGGCGTCCTGCGGGTCTACCTCCACTGCTGCGCCTCGACTCAGCAGGGAGGAGACCTCCGCTTGTAGTGCCTCTAATGATCCCCGTACCTGAGAGCGTGCTGCCCGTACGCCTCGGAATGGTGGTGGCTTTCGGGAGAATTGCAGTGCGTAACCCCTGCGCAATGTTTTCTCCAGCCATAGATCTGTCAGCAACCTTGCTCCCTCCAGATGCTGTAGAAGTCTGTGAGGGGCGGAACGGGAGCTGGAACACGAGACGTCACGGCCCCGCCCTCTCCTGGTGTTCCTAGCAGGGAGGGGGGGTGGACGAAAGGGCCGGGGGGGCCCCTGCGTCACACCGTGAGCGCCGGGGGCGGTCACGTGTCCTGCAGGCCCGACGTCATAAGTACGGGACTGCTCATCCCACGTGACTCGGCTGCTGTGCCCCCCCCTGGCTCTTGCCTCATGGAGGGGGGGGCGAGCCCCTGGAGTGGGAGACTCCGTGTTAGCCTTGTAGCTCAGAGATGCTAACACGCGTTCGGCCAAAGCACACACACCACTACTCACCAGATCCCTCCGCCTGACCTCTCTCTGGGAGGGCATAGCATGAACCAGAGAACCGGAGCTCGTAGCTCGCGTAGCGCACTGCACACCCTGCTCTGGGGGCTGCAGGCCTAGCGAAGCAACGTTATGTGCTCGAGAAGTAACACAATCAGAATTCACAAGATTATTTGACATGTTACATACCCCCAAATGAGACTCAGACAGCGAGTAATGATGAAATGCCGGTCGGCCTTTATTGAAAGAATTCTTCCCACCCCGACCTCCTCTGCCATAGGGAGGTCGGCGGTGGGTGCGTTGGTCCCGCGAGCCACCCGTGGGTCTGTCTGGACCCGGGGGCCTCGTCGAGGGGGGACGATAGGCCACAGAGCGTGGATATGGGCCAGGGCGCCTCCCGGGCGAACGCTCCCTGCCTCTGTCCCGGCTCCGTGCTGGTGGGCGGGCCTCGCGCCTCGGCGCTAGGTGCTGGGCTAGGCTAGCCGAGTCCTTGGCTGCGGTCTCCAGTCTAGCCACCAGGGTCTGCATGTCCGGACCGAAGAGGGACGTCTGGGAAACAGGCAGGTCCAGCAGCTGCCTCTTCTCCGCCTCCCTGATGTTAGCTAGCCCAAGCCAAAGGTGCCTGGCCCCGACTTGAGCTGCTGCCATGGAGCGGCCGCCATCGACAGCTAGCGCCTGGCACATGCGCAGAATCGCCGCTGAGGTGGTCCTCGCCTGTGATAAGGTGTCTCCACTGAGCGCCTGGCCAG